GTATAATTTTCTTTGGTAAAGTATTGGCAACAAATATCTTCCTCCTCCTTGTTTCTTGAGCAATAAAATTGTAAAGGTGTGGGTGGTGACACCTTAAATATTGTTAGCTTACAGTCTGAATTGGATGCAATTCTGTACCAGATGGACAACTTCGTGAAGAGATTTTTCCACCAATCTTCATTTAATCTTCCCATCGTGTTGGAGATTTTTCTTTTGATATACAAATACAAATAGCTTTATTCATTAGTAGTGGCTTGTTGTAAGTTCCATACCTTCTAAAATACTCTGCCTTAGAGTACCATATGGAGATAATAAAGTGTAAACCCTGGCATGTTTGCGATCTTGCTCTTCAGAATCATCACCAATTGGCATGTAACTCAATGTAACTATTGCTCAGAAGTAGAAGATGCATAAAAATCTAAAATAATGAAATATTATTAAAATTTAAAATGTATGACTTTTTTTATAAAATAAGGCAACTTTTAGAAATGCAATGATAATAGTAAAGAGTTTTAATGATTTTAAAATATATAATATAGTATATAAATATAAGATTAATGTAAGCTAGGATTTAAAGGTAAATTAACTACAAAAACAAAATATTATCAAGTTTGTATTTACTAAAAGTGTGGTATAATTAGGTGCTGTTCTTACCTGGTGCTTGTAAAAATAAACTCCTAATCCTCAGAATATTTAATAGCCATTTGTCCAACTTTAACTTTCACCCATCAACAAAAAATATTCTTTTGATTGGAAATCCTATACCATTTTGGTAATGTACCTTCTTCTTCTTTAACAATGTTTATATAAGAAATACTAGATATTAGTGACTGTCGATATAAACAAACAACACAGATTATTAGGGTTGGAGTATATATATATATATATATATATATATATATATATATATATATATATATACTCTCAAACTCCCAAACGCCACTGTATTCTGTCTTTAGTTAGGTCTTCGTCCAGATTTCGAGCGCTAATCGCTTTCCTAACTCCCAGGTTCCAGCTCTGTGGTGGTCTTTCTCGTTTCCTCTTCTCTGGGGGTTGCCACATCATCGTTTTTTTAGGCAATCTTTCGTCCCCCATTCGGCTCACATGCCCATACCATATGAGCTGTTTTCTCTCAATATCCTCAACTATAGTGCCCTCTATACCCATTTGTTGTTTTATCACTTCATTCCGTATTCTGTCGGCTCTTGATATTCTCATCGATCTTCTGATGGCATCCATTTCCGTGACTTCGACCTTTTTCTTATATTTCTCGGTTATTCTCCATGTCTTAGCTCCATAAAGTAGGCTAGTTTTAACCATTGTCTCATAGATGTTCCATTTATTTTTCTTTGATATTTCTTTACTCCATAGAACTCCGTTTAAACATGCTATAGCTCTTCGTGCTTGTACAATTCGATGCTCTATGTCTCGTTCGTCTTTTCCACTACGGTCGAAGATGACGCCCAGGTATTTATATTCGTTGCATGGATTTATTTTTTGATTGTCATCGATATCGAGTTGTTCTGCTTCAGCTCCAATTGAGAGGTATTTTGTCTTTTCTAAATTGATATTTAAATCCCACTTCTGGTATTCTTCAATTAGTTTTCTAAGCATGTATTCCATGTAATCTTTGTCATTTGAGATCACCACCTGATCATCTGCAAACTGTAAAGTATATATGTAATCATGATCGTTCAATTGTATACCCATTCCTTTGACTTTCCTTTTCCATTGTTTCAGAGCTGCAGACATATAAATCTTAAATAGAGTCGGAGAGATACAACATCCTTGTCTGAGACCCTTAGTAACTGCAAATTTTTCAGCTAAGAGGTTTCCAAATTTCATTTGGGAGTTTGAACCATAATATAGATCTTTGAGAGCACTAACCAATGTTTGATGTGTGTTTGATGTGCTTAGGACTTCCCATAGTTTATTTAGCGGGACTGTGTCATATGCCTTCTCAAGATCTACAAAAGTCATATGTAACTCTCTATTTGTCACAATTTTCTTTCCTATAATTTGTTTAAGACAGAAGATGTTATCTGTACATGAACGACTTGCTCTAAATCTTCCTTGTTCTTCGTCTTCAGACGATTGATAATCTTTCTCTATCAGGTCCCGTAGTATTCGACCGTATAGTCGACTTATTAAACTTGTGACCGATATCCCTCTATAGTTTTTACAATTTCTCCTGTCACCTTTTTTATATATTGGAATCATATATGCTGTTTTCCATTCATCTGGTGTTGGATGTCCATTAATATATTCGTTAAATATCACCGTGATCATTCTGTGTAATTTCTCTGAGCCATTCTTTATTAATTCCGTAGTTACTCCCTCTGGTCAACTTGCTTTCCCATTCTTCATCCCTGCTATAGCTTTTTGAACTATGTTGATATCTATGATAATATGCTCTCCCAGAATCTCGATTCTTGATTAATTCATATCTTCTTAAATTCGTCTCTGTTCTCATTTAATAGATGTTTGTAATAATATGTCCAATCCTTGGGATTTACGGGATTTAGAATCACTTTCTCGTTAGTCGGCTTCTTAACAGAGTTTATAAACTTCCACGCCTCAGTGCATTGTCGTCCTCCAATATAAGATTCCATCTCTCTCTGCACCTTCTATCCCATATCTCATTTTTGGAGGTCATAATTATCTTTCTAGTTTTCTTCTTTATTTCATTGTATCGAAATAGACGATAAAAACAGTATAGGTACATCAATTTTTATATACCTAATAAACAAACACTGTTGTATCGTATACAACAGTGTTTATTAGGTATATAAAAATTTATGTATACTGTTTTTATTGTCTATTTCTAAAATTTGGGATACGATTGTTTTAACCGGTGTGGTGTAGAATTGTTTAATCTTTTTCTCTTAATAACTGTCAATCATTATCAAAACACGTCCATTTCATTTTTTGGATTTGGAAAACAAAATCGACTGCTAGTGTAGTCGGTACAACCAGGAACACAACATTCTTACCTTCAATTCTATTTTGTCTTATTTCAACGATGGTAAAACACAATTTTTGCAATTTAAGATGATACTAACCAAACACAAAACTCAATTTGCAATATGGCGTCCCAATCTTAATTAAATTTCGCCACTGCACATACGTCTCCCACTATATTATACCCCCCACCTAACGTGACTAGTAGCAGAGAACATACGAACACATGCGTTCGTAGTTCTCTGCTAGTAGCGCCGCCATTACGAACGGATGGGCCCAGGCAAATCACTCTCCCTCACCCGTCATTCCACTTACGCTACTATATGGGTATGTATTGTGGTTCAGAGCGACTGTAAATTATCGTTCTGACGAGGACTATTAGGCCGAAATACATATAATCGGCTACATAGACGCATCATACGTGAAATCAAATCTTAACTGTCTTTTCTTTTTTATTCCGATTACTCTGAACGAGTACAAGAAACTAATTCGCTAAGGATTTTTGCTTAGTTGAGGAAATATGTCGTGAAATGCAAATTTTAGATTCCCGATGTCTCTAATAACATCTTTATCAACGTCTGTTTTGCCTTGCAATTCTTAGAACACACAGATTAAAGCAAAAATCTGAATTTGGTTTCGAAAATTAGTTTACGGATTTTAATATTTGTGTTTGTCGAGTGTTGATGTACGAAGTGAAAACAATGACTATGACTGTTTCAATACAATACAAGATCCCAAACCGCCAGCTACAACGAAGATCAGGAGTGGCTGATACTGTAGAGAGAATAGGAACACTGAAGTGGACCTGAGAAGGTCACGTGGCTTGAATGGCATATAATAGATGCACAAAGCTATTGAAACGTAGACCAAGAGATGTTGCCTACCTAAACCTTTGTGAATTTCTTCTAAAAGATTTGTTTTTAACCTGACAATACAATAAGCCGCTACAATATTAAAAAAAATTCTCTGGGTGATGACGAAATCATGAGAAAAGCAGTCATTGTTTGTGGTACTGTTAATTCTTGCAAATTTTAGTTGCACTTGTAATGTTAATTATTAAATCTTTTACATACGTCATTTTTCTAGAGTTGTGGTCGACAATAACTAAAGTCAATTATTGGAAAAAAAGTATAGATATATTTGAAGAATATTTTATACAAATGATTTTATTAATTTCAGAAAAAAATAATCAGTATGGACATAATCATTTATAATTTGCGATTAACATAAACATTTTCATAAAGCAACAATTTATGAAAATTATGTGAGCAGACATGAAGGGCTTTCTATTTAGAGTTAATAAAAAATTTTAAAATGAAAGATACTTGTGAAATTATGAAGTATTCGCCAACTGTGGAAAACTGCAAAGATGGTGTGAACCATGTCATCAAAGTAGAGAGAAAAACCGGATTTCAGGTTACCTCATAAAAGAGATTAGACAAAATATAGTGATTTGTTAAGATTCTTCCTATGATTAAATATAATTTCTGCGAATGGAAACATGCTGTAAAGTTTTTCTCTGTCTCCAATACACATTTAAGTTTAATAAACATCCTCTACTCTACTGCCTCCTGGATTGACATAATATTTATCATTTAGTACTTATTTTACATTGTCTCTACACTTTACCATTCATTCTATTTATTTGTACCGTCACGGCAAGTTGTAGGAAGAAATGTTGGAAAATGCAAACATTTACCTTCTTTGGAATTTTAAAATTTTCTTGACATATTACAACCAGTTTGTAAGACATTAAGAAATGCATTATAGGAAGACAATTGTAACTAACATGAATGGTACAATGAAGTATTGTAATATCTTGTAAATGTTATCTATATAAATAAATATGCAATAGTTTTTATTTGAGGGTAACATTTTGTTATTGTAAATAATTCTGACAAATGCCAAACAAACAATAAGGCATAATAACTGCAACAATAGAATCATAAAAGTGGACTACATTACTAAAGCTTAATATTTTGTGATATTGTCAATTTTATTAATGCCAAATATTAAATATTTATAAAAAAATAACTTACCTTGCAACTAATGATACAACCACAGGAAAAACTTTCATGTTTCCTCCTGCTAGCAAATAATCTTTCACATTTTGCTTCTTTCCAAAACATCCAAAGTAAATTCCTATTCCCAAACTGATCAATATCAAGAAACAGAAAATTAAATAGTCATACCATGAAAATCTTATGCCTGCTGATTTATGTACGAAAGAAGTATAGGAGGCTGTTGAAGTGGAGAGGCCAGTCGCCACGTTATCAAGAAAAGTTGGAGTAGTTGAGAGTTCCATCTGAAATAACGAAAGTATTTAATAAAAGTAATAATAAATTAAAACTTTAATTCTAAAATAATGTAATTAAAACAAAAAATATTTTCCCCACACCAACAGATTTAATTAGATCATCCACTGACTTACAGATATGGTCTAACAATACAAAAACTTAACAACTACAGGTTAGCAGAAAATATACAAAATAGTATTTTGGTCTTTAAAACTAAATCAGAAAACAATATCAAAATCAGATTCAACTTCTATTGTAGGAAGTGGAAGTCATAATGCTGATAGAAAGGACATTCAGGCGTCAAATGTCCAAAATATTTTTAGACTATAATAATGAAAAGACCTCTAACAAAAAAAAATATCCTTAACAACGGCATCTTTTATGAGGAAACTGAATTTTGATGCGGATTTTCAGATGAAGACAGAAGTCCTACATATAGCAGGATATGCGATAGTTGGCATATGCGCTTAAAAAAGGAAAGTACATTTCTTACATTCAAAAGAAGAAGTAACGACAAAAAGGCGAAAGAACTAAGTGAGGGATAAGTGTGTACCTACAGAAAAGTCGCACTAGAAGTGGAGTTGATAATTGCTGATAGGGAAGAAAAAACTTTATACCTAGAAATAGTAAGAACACGGGACAATATAATGAAAAGAATAATTTATGATAGTATAAGGAAAAATTATGATCAATTAGGAGATATACTTAGAGATATTCTATCACTAGATGGAGTCATACTAGAAGGGTTATTTTAATGAACACATTGGTCAATCCAATAAAGGATATGAAGCGATACATAAAGGGGGAATAGACTTTGCAACTAAAAGTAATTAGCTGCGAATTTAAACTAATTTTTGGGTGACTTCATGTGACTTTATTACAAAAGTTTTAGTGTAAAGTCTGCTGCAAAGAGTTGACTTAAGCATATATTATAATCAGATAAGTGTTTAATAAATTGCAAAAAAGTGCACTAAGGTGAAGTGGGGTATATGTGATAATGGGGCAATTGTAATAGTGCATTTAAAAATGGCTATTTAAATAATTACGAGTGTGCCACCTATTAGACGGAACCTGAAATTTGTTAGTCTAGTGAGCCACCACTAGAAACTACGTAAATCCAAAAATATATTTTAGTTGAGTAGGGATAGCCGACGAGTGTGTTCGAATTCAACACAGAATTTGTTATACATTTACCCCGTTCGTGAAGTATTATATTATTTTTTCGGTAGGTAAGACTATTATTATAATTTTAATTGACATAGCAGTTTATTCTAGTTTGGAAGAACCTTATGGTGTAGGTCATTTAAATAAAAACATAACATTTACCTTAAAATTTTGTTATAACACATTTGCCCCTTGGAATTTTGTTGTTGGGGCAAATGTATTATTACAGATTGGGGCAAATGTGTCATGAGTAATTGAGTATATCACATTTACCCCGTTTATATCACTTCTTGAATTTAAAATTTAAACGGTGGTAGGGCAAGTTGTACAAGGTTTTTTGTTATAGATACCATGGTTTACTGCAATAAAAGAGAAACTTCAAATGAAGAAAAATATTCAGCAGCTGATCTCAACGCTGCAATGTCTGATGTTTTAGCAGGTCGAACATAAATATAAGGCCGCAAAATTATACAAAATACCATATGTGACCCTACATTCCCGTGTAAAAGGTAAACGGGGAGCAGTAAATGCAACTAAAAGAGGTCCAACGTCAATTTCTACTGCTGACGAAGTTAGATTAGCCAATGGTCTAAAACGATGGAGAAATGGGGATATGGCCTAACAAGCAAAGAAGTACTTATTAGAAATTGTAGGAAACTTTGTAAATACTAACCATATTGAAACTAATTTCAAGTATGGAGTTCCAGGTGAAGATTGGTTTTTGGGGTTTAAAAACAGAGGCATAGATTAAGTATTAAAGTGTCCACAAAACGTGGAATACTCTCGAAAAAAGCTCTTGATCCTTTTATAATATACCAATTTTGGATGGAAGAAGCCGTTTTGAAAAATTACTTATTATTTCATAAACACTATAATTCCATCACTTCCATCTGAAATACCAATATTAATTATCTATGATCGACATTCCACTCATATAAATATCGAGACGTTAGAAGCCGCTATGCGAGAAAATATTATAATTCTAAAACTGCCACCCCATTCCAGCCACCTTTTACAGCCACTAGACCTGGCTGTTTTTAAATCCTTTAAAGTTAAATGGGATGAAAAACTTGTTGCCTGGCAGCGGCAGCATGTAGGCCAAAAATTACCAAAACAAATATTTTACCAATTTTTGTGTACAACTTGGAAACAGGTGAACTCCGAAGTAATTATCAACGGCTTTAAAAAAGGCGGAATTATTCCTTTTAATCGTCACGTCATCCCTGAAATATCATTTCCACCATGCTTGCTTAATAGGTGGAAGATGATAAAACATTCCAGATTATCTATACACGAAAATGGTAGTGAAGTATTTGTACCAACTAAAGTAATTTAAGAAGTATTTTATCAAAACAAAGAACCTACGCCTGATGCTCAAATCGAAACTACCATTTCCGACAACGTAAAAAATATCTCTACCAGAGTCGACGTACTTCAGTCGAATCAATTCCATGTATAAGTTTAACTGAAAATAAGAATGTAACATTTGAAGATTTATTGTTATCAACAGTAAAACAACTTCCAAACGCACCAACCAACAATAAGAAACGGTTATGCCCTGGATCTGAAGTATTGAAATCACAACAAGCTATTGATGTTTTAAAACAGAAATCTCAACAAAAAGGAAACAATACTAAAATTCATAAGATAACTAAGGCAAAGCCCAAAAAAAGAAATACACGAGAGTCATTATCATTTAGCAGCAGCGAAGACGATGAGTCAATGTCCTCAATATTTATGGATTCTGATAAAACCGACGAGTTTCTGGATACGCTTTTGGAATCAGAGCCAGAGGTAGAAATAGCTGCAAATGATGACGAGGAAGACAAAGAGAATTTAAATTCAACAAAAAGTGTGAATGTATCTGTCGGATGTTGGGTATTGGTATAATATTGCCCAAAAAAATAAACAAGCATTATGTGGGAATTATATCAGAAAATATGAATGTTAAGTGGATAGTTAAATTTACACTACATCAAGGAAAAAAATTTGTATGACTACTAAATCCTGACATTGATACTGTACTACAACAGGATATTATAAAAGTACTACCATATCCTATCGTCGACAGAAGTAGCATGTTCAAATTTCCAGTTACCTTTAAAGGCTTTAACATTCAACATTAACTGAAAGAAAACTTGGGTTGTGTGTTTAATTTTATTATACTTTTGTTTCCTTTGTTCTGACATTCTTTTCGAAAAGTTTAAATTCTTTTGTATTTTTTTAATAAAATAAATTCTAAAAATACACAAGTAGAGTATTACAGTAGAGTAGAGAATTACATTTTTATGCAATAACCCCAGACTATCAAATATAATATTTACTACAAAAATGTAAACTTTCTTCACATTTGCCCCGGTCCCTGGGGTAAATGTGATATATTGATATGATTTTAAAAAACATAATGCAACATTAATAACACTAAAGATTATTTAATTTTTTTCTACACAATGAATACAAAACCGTTCCATAAGTATATGATTTTTTTGATTAATTTTTGAAACGTTTCATTACAGTGTTATATTAAATGAAAGTTGAACTATTCAAAAAGTAGATCACAATTACCCCACTTCACCTTATATCTAAATTTTAATTGATAAAACACACTTCGAGGAGTTGATCCGGCTTTTTTTTGTCTATATAAGCTAGTTTTATCGATAGAAATTAAGAGTAAACAGAGCTGCACTTAAACATTGTAAAATTTATTAAAATTAAAACTTTAATTGAATAAATTTAAATTATTAAATTAAATTTTACATGGATAGTGAATCAACAGATGAAAGATGGAAAAGAAACAAATTATTACGAAATAAGCAAGAAGACAACTCGAACACCAGTAACACAAAACAAAGATGAAAAGATCGAGAAACTATTGGAGGAGATGAATAAAATAAGAAATAAAATGTAAGAGATGAGGAGTGATGTGATATAAATGAAATGCCAAGCGAGTAAAAAGAAATGCGCCATAAAATTAATCAAATAACACGGGAATAGCAACTTATCAAAAACAAATATGAAAGAGTAAAGAAATAAAACGAGATCATGAAAGAAGAAGTAAGCAGTTTGAACCAGAATGCGAAGAGAATAAAAAAAAACAATGTGGTATTAACTGGCCTCCTAATTCAGACAGTAGATCCAAATATATTGAAAAGCTTAGGACAAAGAAAAAATCAGGCAAAATAAATCCAAACTGGAAAAATTTGAGACCAACGCATATATATTAGTCACGACCTAACTGCATCAAAAACAGAAATGTGAATAAAAAAAAAGACAGGGTAAATAAAGAAAAAATGAAAGGGAATTTAGTAAGAATTGGCTCCAACAAACACCTGTAGAAAAGAAAGAATGGAAAAAGAACGAAGAACAACTAGAAACGAAAGCAAACTAGAAATAACAAAAAACTAAGAGTAAATGACAGATTGGAGTATAAGGTAACAAACATGATAATAAATAAGAAAAAAGTACAATTAATAATAATGGCCAGGAAAGGGAAGCGCAAAAAAGTTAATAAGAAGAAAAAACAAAGAAAATGGAGAAGAAATATGGAAGTTGTGAACCTGAAATATTAGAAGTATACAAGGCAAAAAAAAGTGGAAATGAAGTTTGAAGAAATAGGGCTAATATACTGACAATAAATAAAACTAAGAGGAAAAGACAAGAGATGATGATGAAGCAAAAACAGGAACTAATTATGTATTTATATATACTGCATATGTAACAAATAACTAATTGGACTAACTAATTAGAATACTATTACTTAAGATTAGAAAAGCAATAATTTAAAATGAATAATAATTGTATATGGCCCAAACGATGACGACTTTGCTTATAAGGTTACATTCTGGGAAAAATTAGCATTGGTCACAAAACAAACAAAAGGAAATATATATTTAGTAGGTGATTTTAATAGGAGAATAGGTTCGAATAACCAGGAATATAAAGAAGTATGAGGAAAATATGATGAAGCAGCATGAAAAAATAATGGCATAATATTACTATACTACTGGATAATGCACAATGTAGTAATAGCTAATACATTTTTTAAATATAAAAATATCTACACGTGCACAAGAGAAGTTAAAAGCAGAAAGGAAAAATCTATAATTAATTACATGTTAATACATAAAAAAAATTAAAGGAGAAACGTAATAGACACAAAAGTTGGAAGGGGTTCAGAAAAAGGAAGTGAGCACTATTTAGTAGTAATGAAAATAAAACAAAATAAGTCAGACAATAATACAATTAACAGACTGCAAGAAAACAAGAATAATTAGGTCATATAAATTAAGAAATAAAAAAATCACTGAGAAGTACCAGATGAAAAAAGATCAAAAACTAAGAAATACTGAAGAAAAGATAAAGGGTCAAAACCTAGAATAACTATGGTACTATTTCAAGAAGGTTGTAATAAATATAGCGACAGAAGTATGTAAAACTCGTAAGAAGAGCAATAAAAGAAAGCAAACTGCATGATTGAATAAAGAAATTAAACATATAAAAGAAAAACTAATTAAAAGAAAGAAAATTGCTTGCAAATATAATTTCATAATAAAACACCAAAGTACTATTATGAAGAATATAAAAAATTTAAAAGATTAGTAAAAGAATTTGTTACAAAAACAAAAAAGGATAACTGGACATAATTTTTAAAAAAGATCGTAACAACCAGTAAAGATAATCAGCAATTGTTTTATGTAGTTTTAAAATAAATAAGCAAAGAAAAAAAAGCAAGACATAAAAAAACATAAAAAATAAAACTGGTGAACTTTTCACAGAAGAAAATGAAATGATGAGCAGATGAAGAGAATATTTCTAAGAAATGCTACAAACGCACTGCTCTCTAGAAGGAAACAACCTGTTAAGCCAAAAAATAGATGACGATAATGTAGATCAAATCAACATTAATGAGCTTCAAGAAGCTATTGCAGAAATGAAAAACGGTAAGGCAAAGGGTATGACAGAATAACAAGTAAAATAATAAAAAAACATGGGACAAAATGCAACAGAGTCATTACTAAAGATATTTAATGCCATATGGGGAGAAAAACAGACACCAATTAACTGGCAGAAAGCTCAGATAGCACCGATTTATAAAAAAGGGGATAGGAACGATTGCAATAACTACAGAGAAATAACACTCTTAACTCCTGCCATGAAAATCTACGAAAAATATCGAACAAATGAATAACTGAAAAATTTAACAGCACAGTCGAGGAATCACAAAGCGGATTTAGAAAAGGCAAAAGCACCTATGATAATATATTTACTATTTAACAAATAATAGAAACATATCAGCAACAAGAAAAAAATATGTATCTAGCCTATAAAGACCTTGAAAAGACTGTTGACACAGAGGTATTAGTAACAAAATGATAAGGGTAATTAAGACAATTTACTATAGCAATATTAATGACGTCATCAGTCATAACAGTACATCAAAACCATTTGCTACAAACGAAAGTCTGAAACAAGGAGGTCCAACGCTATTTATAATATATTATGTAGATTAAATAATTGAAGAAATTAAGGGGAAAGAGAAAAAATGCATATGGGTTAAGAAAACTATATATATATATTGCGAGAGTATTTTGTGTTTGATTTGAGAAACTAGAATCCCTAAAAAAAAGGACTGAAAATGAATTTCAGCAAAACTAATCTAATATCAAACAAAGATGACAAACCTATGATAAACATCCAAGGGATAGAAATAGAACACGTAGACAAATATACCTATCTGGGTCAAAATGTCAAGGTAAGCAAAGAAAATCAGACTATCCAAATAAGCAGATGTGTAAAAATGGGATGGACAGCATTCGGAAAGCTCTCATAAGTACTTGAAAATAAAAACATACCATATTAACAGACTGCAAACCAAAGTGTTTAATTCCTGTATATTACCTGTACTTTCATATGAAGCTCAAACCTAGACAGTCACTAAAATAAGCATAGAGAAGATCAGAAAAACTTTATGGGAGCTATGGAACGACAGATGCTTTGCATCTCACTCAAAGACCATAAAACCAATGAAGACATTCGTAATAGAAAAAAAGTAAAAGATGCTGTTGAACAAGCAGCTAAACTGAAATGAAAATGGGCTGGACATAACGAACGTCTTAAGGATGGCCGATGGAATAAAGAAGAGACCACGAGGAAGACCGCAAATGGCTGGAGTGACGATACTAAAAGAGCTGCAGGACCAATGTAAAAACAAACAACAGAGATGAATGGCGAGAATTAGGAGAGGCATATATTCGGCAATCCGAATAAAGAGAAGAGCTTAAAAAAATAATAAGTCTAATAAAAATAAGGTGGCATTGAACGATTGCAGTTTGTTAGATTAGCATCCTACAATTATTCTAGTATTATTAGTTAAAGTATTTCTGTTCTGACTTGTATATTATTTTGTAAATACATTTTAATTTTATTTTTATATTTGTTATTGAAGTTGTAGTTGATTTATCCCTTCCGGTGGAGACTTTTTGCGCAATAGAGTTTGCTATTACGGATTAAATTCCAAGACTATGCGCAATGTCTTTATACCCTTTTAGCAGTATGTGCAAAATCTGCGCAAAACGATATACCTGTTCTGATTACAAAAGCAAACACATACGAAATAAAAAGATGGACGAAAAATAAACAAAATTTAGTAAAATCAAAAGCTAAATATAAATATTTCATGATAATTGATCAAAAATATTTCAATTTGTACCAAAGAAACAGATCTACCAAGTATATGACAAATAGGAGGTCAAAGTATCTGAAAGGCTCACAAATGGGCCCTGCCTTGATCTGCCATAGCATAACATAATGTATGAAAAATTCTACAAGCAATAAATTAAATGAAAGTAGGCAAAGCCTTAAGTTCGACTGAGCTTCCAAAAATTTTTATATTACACGTTTATTCACAAATTAAGACATGCCAAAGCATATGAACGGTCTAGAATGAATCTCATAACACAATAATCAGAAAGAAATGGTATAATGTGAGATGACACCTTTTGCTAAACAAAATATCTAGAGGGCAAGTATATATAAATAAGCAGAAGATTGTCTTATACCTCAAAAATAATAGTTATACTAAAAAATTTAAGGACACATTAAGAACAGGGAGATATTTGGAGGTTCGAGGTGACTTGTAGGTATGTTTTATAGAGTACCGGAAAGCATTCGCATGTATACAGTACGATAAACTACTAAAATTTTTTTATTAAAGTAGGACTAGCTAAACAGACTATGATTATTATTAGAACCACATACTAGAATTATAGAGAATGTGTCATACTGAGTCAGGAAATTCAAATTATGCTAATGTAGAAAGGGGAGAGGCTGAGATGTGTGTTGTCTTCTATTTTGTTTATGTCGTATATTAAGAATATATCGTCACTGCAGAACAAATAAGAAATTGCAGAAATAAGCAGAATTATAATGGATAACATCCGTTACTGAGACGATACCGTAATGCTGGAGAGGAAATACTTTAGAATTTAATAAAGGATTGATAAAAGCTAGCGAAAACAGGGATCTTGTTTAGCAATATACCATCCGCAAATATTCAGCTCTAACCGATGTTTGCAACTCAACTATTTTAAAACCACTAACAAAGAATAGAAGTAGCAACAAACTAATCGTATTTGTAGTGCTAAAATACCTTTAAAGGAAGTTACTCAAATTTTTACATCTTAAGATATCCTAAATACATACCTAATTAGTTATGTAAATAAACTTGTTATTCGAAAATACTCCCTATACATATATGTACAGACTCAATTATAGAAAAATAACAATACAAACTCATCTACACTGGTATACTGTCGCGGTATAATGAATGATTTTTATTTTATTATTTTGCTCCCGTTTAAAGTCAATAAAGGTGATGGATTAGAGAGAATACCATTGTTTCAATTATTTCATGATGACGACATGTTTGTACAGTTTTCTTAGACATAAGGCTTAAATATATGTTTTTGCCAGGGTTGAACTCGCTAATGAATAAATTGCTAAAGTACCGAAAAGGTAGATACTAAGAATTCAGCAGACATAGATTTTTTAATGTATATATATATATATATATATATATATATATATATATATATATATATAGCGAGTGTTTGCAACTTTAATTTTGTCGCTTCTCGCATCCCAATCGCCATAATTTCTTATCGGCCCAGTTTCCTTCTTGAAGACCTCTATTTTCCATTTGTATATGAATATTGGATATCCATTTCTTTCTTGGCCTTCCCCTTTTATTTCTCTGTGTAGGTCTCCAGTTCCAAACCTTTCGTGGTATCCTTTCTTCGTTCATCCGTCTCAGGTGTCCATACCATTTTAATTGTTTTTCGGCTATCGTATCCATTATTGTGTTCTTTACTTTCATTATCTCTCTTATGTTTTCATTTCTTATGTGGTCAAACAAAGTTAACCCGGAACATCTTCTCCAGTGCATCATTTCCGTTGAGAGGAGTTTTTGTGACATATTCTTGTTAAAGACCCACACTTCTGACCCATACGTCAGCACCGGCTGAATCATAGCCTGATATATATTTTTCTTTGTTTTCTTAGTTAAAGTTTTATTCCACAGGATCGGATGTAGTGTTTTTATCATGTTTTTTCCTTTTCCTATTTTTCTGGTTATATCTTTGTCGTCTCTCCCGTCTTCGCTTAGTGTAACTCCGAAATATTCGTACTGATCAAAGTTTTTAATTAATCCGCTTTCTGTTTCCATGTCTTGACCGATGCCTCCTATATTCATGTATTGTGTCTTTTCGGTATTAACTTCTTATCCCCATTTTTTGAATTCGTCTATTAGTTTAATAAGTTTAATTAGTTTAATAATTCGTCTAATAGACTAATAAACTAATAAACTAATAAACTAAACTAATAGTATTATGTAATAAAGTAAAAAAAATTTAAATATTACAATTGGAATTAGTTTTTTACAACTCTGGTAAAGAAAACATTCGTGTTTTCAACTTACTCAAGTAAAAAAGTTTTGTAATATGCTGCAGCGATTATGAAATAGTATAGATAAAATTGAGTCACATGTGCCTATCAAAATTAAGGAAAAAGCTTAACCAATACAAACAAAGTCAAAAAACTTTACCGGAGACAATGCAACGGAAAAAATAAAAAAAAATGAACAGTTAAATCTTTAAGTTCAAGACAAATATTTGTCTTTGTATGAATAAACACATATTTGATAATATTTAAAGTATCAAATATTACATTTAACGATTAAAAATTATACCGTATACAATTAACATCCCAACAATCCTAATAATTTGAACTTAGGTACAGGGGTGTTTAAAATTCTTGACCTTTGTTACAGAATCGTCATCATACAGTGAGTACGACAGTGCTAATAATTATTTATCAAAAGTGGCTATTTGGAATGGATTCTGTTGCCTAGATTAATATTCACTAATGGTTCATTATTTTTTATCCGGACTTTGGAACAGGAATTTACCTAGATAATGTGCATATTTACTCAATAAAAAAAAACAAATAAAATACAAATATAACAATGTGTTTGATAAGCCGTTAGTCAATGAGATGGTAAAGAATTTATAGTTGATGGCTATTACCTAAACCATCTCAGATTAGCTTACGTCCTTATTGCAATATCCAATAATACTAATAAATCAAATTAAATTCTTGTGCAGTAAAACAGAGTGCATAATTTCCAAGTTATACGTTATGAGCTCTATGTACAACGCGAAAACTGTGCGCTGCTGTGCGACCAGTCTTGCTAGCAACGTAACGTGGACTCGTAGACGGCTATGTCGTTTGTATAATTTACTTAATGGTAGTGCCATTGGTTCCTGGAAACAGTCCAAAAACAGGAAATACAACAACTAAATAGCATCTAAGATATAACGATCCGTACAAAAAAGCCGCAAGGCAAAAGCTATGTGACCTCAAACAATCATTAAATCCAGACGAGTCCTCAAACAGCATATGGACAAAAACAAAATCCATATTGCATAATGCTGCGAAAAATATTAAGAGTGATAGAGAAGAAAGAAGGAAACAATGGATAACGGAGTCCACGTGGACTAAAATACAGGAGAGGAAGTGCTTAAAAGCCACAGGACTGAACAGTGAAAGTGATAAAGATGCCTATAAAGCGCTGAACGGTCAAATAAAACGACTCTGCAAAAAGGACAAGAACACACACTTGAACAAAATCTGCATGGAAATAGAAGGGTATAAAACCAAAACTGAGACCAGAGACATGTTTAAAAAAATAAAGCAGATAACACGTTCCTTTACACCAAACTACCCTGCTATCAAAGATGATAACGGAACTCTACTCACTTCTAAAAAAGATATTTTACACAGATGGAAAGAATACTGTGGACGACTGATGATGGTGGAAAGCACAGACGCCCCATCATAACAAGAAGATGCCAGTTTTGCGACGGAACCTGACGTACTCAAAAGTGAAGTTGAAGCAGAATTATGAGGCAAAAAAGTCAAAAAGCTGCCGGTCCAGATAACATACCTATTGAAATTATTTGGGCCCTAGATGACGTTGGAGTGGATATAATACATCAAATTTGTCAAAGAGTATGTGAGACAGGTAAATGGCCTGAGGACTGGACACAATCACTATATATTCCCATACATAAAAAGGGAGCGAAAGATTTATGTAGCAACTATCGCACAATTGCTCTAATTGCGCATTGCAGTAAGATACTCTGACACATAATTCTCGAGAGGATAAAGCCCTTTTTGCTACCTAACATTGCGGAGGAACAAGCAGGTTTCGTCCCAAGACGTGGTACTAGAGAACAAATTTTAAACGTACGGCAGATTGTAGAAAAATCCAGAGAATTCAACATCACAACATATATGTGCTTCATAGATTATAGTAAAGCTTTCGATTTGGTCAACTATAGTAAAATGTGGCAGGTTTTGTCTGAAATGGGAGTTCCTAATCATCTGATACTCCTAATTAAAAGTCTATACAATAACAATTATGTCAGAGTTAGAATAAATGGGGAACTAACTGACAGTTTCAGGGTCACAAAGGGCGTGAGACAAGGCTGCATACTAAGCCCAATTTTATTTAACATCTATGGTGAATGGATAATGCGGAAAGCTACTGAGGACTGGAACGATGGCATCACCATTGGCGGGAAGAAGATTTGCAACTTGAGATATGCAGATGATACTACTATCCTCGCTAGTTCTGAAACTGAATTGATTCACCTGCTACAACGGATAGAAGACGTAAGCTTAACGATGGGCCTTAAAATAAACAGGGATAAAACGAGAATCATGATAATTGACAGATCTAACAACAATCAAAATCATCTGGTTAGGATAAACAATATCGCTGTTGTAGATAAATTTTTGTATCTGAGCTCATTAATAACCAACAAAGGAGGCTGTACTGAAGAAATAAAGCGGCGGTCAGCAATCGCAAAAAGCGCTATGGCAAAATTAACAAAAATTGGAAAAAGCCATGAAATTACTACCGATACAAAAATGAGACTAGTAAGAAGTCTAGTTTTTCCAGTTTTTACTTATGCATCGGAATGCTGGACCCTTACTGAGAAAGACAAAAAGAACATAGATGTATTTGAGATGTACTGCTGGAGACGAATGCTGAGAATACCAAGGGTGGCCCTAAGAACAAATGAATCCATACTGGTCCAGCTAAACATAAAGAAAAGACTAAGAACACAAATAACAGAACAGATAATAAGCTATTTTGGACATGTGCTTCGAAGAAATGGTCTTGAAAAACTTACCATCCAGGGCAAAGTAGAAGGCAAAAGAAGTAGAGGTAGATCTCCTACACGATACTCAGACCATATTGTTACTACCATTGGCGCTCCATTGTCAGAATGTGCTAGATTGGCAGAAGATAGAAAAACGTGGAGGAACATTGGAAAAATTACCTAACAGCTTCATGATATCACGATACCTGCATCAGGTTAACGACTAAGAAGAAGAAGAAGTGCTATTGGACATTCAACGGCTATATAAAGACGAACGGACTGAGATAGTACTAGAGCAGGAAAAGTTCGACAACGTCCCAGACATAACAGAAGATGAGGTATTAGAGGCGATAAAGCGAACAAAGAACAACCAGGCAACAGGTCCCGACGAAATACCTGTAGACATAATACGGTTAATAGAAGAACAGCAAATTGGAATATTGTTCGACTTATTCAATACAATATACAGTACAGAAATCATTCCCAGAGATTGGCTGATGTCCACATTCATAACACTACCAAAAAAAACCAAATACAAAAGAACGCCAGGACCACCGAATAGTAAGTTTAATAAGTTATTCGCTCAAAATATTTTTAAAAATTATACACAGGAGAATACACAACAAATTTGAGCAGGACATAAATGACACACAATTTGGATTGGGAATTGCACTGGGAACGAGGGAAGTCCTGTTTGCTGTAAATGTACTTGTGCAAAGGTGCATGGATATTAATCAGCCAGTATATATGTGTTTCTTGGATTACAACAAAGCCTTCGATAAGGTCAGACATAACCGTTTTATCGAATTACTTGAAAAGAAAAACTTAGATATGAGAGACATTAGCATCATTAGCGCTACCCATTATAATCAGATCGCTGTGGTAAAAGAGACCAACGTCTTTTTAAATAAAATACAGATTGAGAGGGGCGTCAGGCAGGGCTGTGTCCTGTCTCCTACTTTGTTCCATTTGTATTCAGAGGAAATAATCCAGGAAGCACTAGAAGAACTAACTATGGGAATAAAAGTAAATGACCGACCAATCAATAATATACGGTTTGCCGACGTCACTATTTTATTAGCGGAAT